CATTGTGTGAACTTGATTGATTGAATATCACTTCCAACAACGCTGTGTTTCAACAAGGACACGTGCTTCCTTGTGAAGAAGCCGGAATTGGCGGGGTTATGGCACCAACGGTTGGGACACGCCGGGTACGAAAATTTGGCGAAAATGGTGCAAGGCGATCTCGTGGAAGGGGTCGGCGTGAAACCGAGTGCGTTCAGAGCGCTTAAAACCTCGGTGTGTGAGCCTTGCATTATAGGGAAGCAAACTAGGCTCCCCTTCCCGGAATCCGACTCGATGAGCAAGAGCTTCTTGAGCTAGTCCACCCAAACAACTGCAGGCCAATGCGGTAGCCTCGGTTGGGAGAAGCCGGTAGTTTGCCACGTTCTTGGACGACTACAGCAAACTCTCAGTCGTAGTTCCCATGAAGCAGGAGAACGAAGTGGCCAAGGTCACTGAGCACGTGATCAACCGGTTGGAGTTGCAATTGAGGTAGAAACTCAAATCGGTGCGGACGGACTGGGGCAAGGAGTACGTCAACAAGGCCCTTGAAAACGTTTTCGGGGGTAAGGGGACGGTACACGGGAAATCGGCCCCCTATAGCGCCGAGCAAAATGGGTCGGCAGAACGGCTTAGATGGGATTCGGAGAAGACCCGACCCGGGCAATGCTTGAGGTCTCGGGAGTGGCCAAAAACTTGTGGGCGGAAGCTGTGGTGACGGCCAATTACACCAGGAACCAAACGCCCGCCGTGAGTGCCCATGGGCGGACTCCCTCGGAAGTTTTCTTCGGAGAAAAGCCGAATGTCGGGCATATGAGATTCTTGGGGCCCGACTCGGCATTCCGCCACGTCCCTAAGCAGCGAAGGCGTAAGCTAGATTGGTGAGCGAGCGATTTGTGTTCGTGGGGTACGAGCCGGAATCGAAGGCGTAGGGGTTGCTCCCAGATCGTGACGGGACGTCAATCATTTTCCGAGACGTCATCTTTGACGAGGGGATCGGAGGGGACGGGGTTGTCGGGCTTGGCCTTGACCCCACGGACGGTTCTCAAACGTCGGAGGGTCACGGCGTGTTGGAATTACACGCTCATGCTTGGAGCCTACGGGGGATTCAACCACCCTCACACACAAGCGCCTTCACAAAAGAAGCGCCTTAACACTCACCAGGCATCTCTTAGTATGAGTTTTCGTCACAATAGAAACGTCCAAGCCATACTAGTCGAGTCTACAATTAGCCCTCTATCCCCTCTTGTGTGCAACATCGACAATCAACGGTCGTCGCTCAATCAACCCTGAGCAAAGTACTCATCTCACGGCTAAGTTCTTACAACTGCTCTTATGTAAAAACTCCCTGATCGACGGCTCACACTGAGTAACAAATCAACATCGAACGGTCTCAACTAGCCTAGCTAAAGCAGCTAGCCTACCTCGGCCTAAACCAACAATTTGGCCGCCGCCTAACCCACCCCAACTTCCAACATTCCCACGCGGACCAGTTGTTGAGTGGTTTTCCGCGCTAGCCTCTACGGCCCCTCTTCTTCTTGGCCTTCGGCGTCACGGTCACCCAACCCTCGTTCGCTTCTCCGCCCCCATACCTCACCGGCGCCGCTCGCGCACTCTCCGGATAGCGCTTGTCGCCCGTCCCCGGCGACGTCGCTCCCTCGCTCTCAACCAAAACAGTCCCCGGAACCATCCGTGCTCTCACGGCTTCCGCTGCGGTGGCTCCCACGGTTTTTGTTGCGCCGCGCACCTCCGTCACCGGCTCCGTCGGGGCCTCCGTCTCCCCGACGCTCACACCTACCGGTTGGGTCTCTTTCAACCCGTCGTCTGACTCATCGTCCGACTCAACATCAACCTCAATGAAGTTGACCGGCTTCACCTCTACCCGCTTTCTCTTCGCAACCACCGGCGGTTTTCTTGCCGCCACCCCAATCTTCCGCTCCACGTTGGCCGTCCCCTTGACCGCCAAAAACGCCCTTCTATTGTTATCGCAATCTCCCACAACGCATCACGTTGCACCGCCTCCATACGGACCACACCTCCCGTCTCAAAAGGGTTACTCCTCTTTCAAAGGAGACCCTTGCCCTCGCGTCCATTGCTCTCCGCAAAGCAAACAATTTCGCCCACGCCTCGGGCAAGTGCCAAACCTCATTCAAGGTTACCGTGCTCCACCCGGTTCGCGTCTCGCACTCCAAGCAACCATTCCAAACCCCACCGCCTTCAAGGCTTCTCCCCTAAGCCCCTCAATCTTCTCCGCACGCGCAAGCCTCTCATAGCTTGCGAATTGGCTCCTATCCGCCGTGATGTGTTGGGTGCTTCCTGAGTCAACGAGCCACACCCCCGCCGGCGTCCGCGCCTCCTTGCGCCACGCCGTAAACGCACACCGGCAAACCCTTGCCGCTCCCGGCGGTCCTCACCGCCGCTCTTTGCACCAACCCGGGGCTTTCTACACACCGAGCTAATGTGCCCCTCTCTCCACATTTAAAGCACTCTGCGTTCGAGTTGCGGCAATAGGCCCGGACGTGGCCCTTCTCATCGCAAGCATAGCAAGTTCTCGTGTTGCCTCCTCCTCCTCCGGTAACTCCCCGCTCGCTTGACCCTTTGGCAACGGTTACCCCGTACCGTTCCCGCTTGACAACAAACGCCGAAGCTGGCATATTCTCCTCATCCCTCCCCTCCGGAGTTCCCATTTCCGCCTCCAACTTCAACCTTTGCTCCTTTTTTTGCATGAGCTCGGGTTGAACCGCATCCAATGTCAACTCCATTTCACCCAACTTTGAAACCTCCACTAGAGTTGCTTAATGCTTAGGCAATCAGTTAAAGCATGTACTGCCAACTCTACCTCCTAGACGGTTTGCCCCGCCGTCTCCAAGTCCATCTTTACCTCGCGGGACTCTCCCACGTGTTCCGCGACTCTTCCTGGGTGCGAACTTCAAGCTCGTCAACTTCTTCCTAAGTTGAACAACCCTTGCGTTGCTTGTCTTCTCAAAATTTTCCTCAAGCTTCTTCAGGCCTTCACCGCCGTGTCCGCCCCCGCGAACAACTTCACATAGGCATCATCCGTGTGCATAAGCATCAAGCCTCTCGGTTGGCTTAACAACTTCTTCCCTTCTAAGGACTCCGGCTCTTCTAGCACACACAACCATCCTTTATAAACAAGGAGACCGCGGAACTTGTTCCCATGTGGATCAATTCTCTCCATTCAACACCAGGATCCGAGCCGTAGCCTTCTTACTCCCGCCATCACTTCTAACGGTAACTATTTCCCTCACCGCTCCCAAACTCTACTCAAATTGTTCTCCTCCCCTTACAACGACCGCTTCATCCCTCGTTACCTAGGGTAGCGTCGTGTGCGCCCATAACTTGTTGAAATCACACGCTCTTGCTTGGAGCCTACGAGGGATTCAACCACCCTCACACACAAGCGCCTTCAAAAAAGAAGCGCCTTAACACTCACCAAGCATCTCTTCAAATGAGTTTTCATCACAACAGAAAACGTCCAAGCCACCCAATCCAGTCTACAAATAGCCCTCTATCCCCTCTTGTGCAACATCGACAATCAACGGTCGCCGCTCAATCAACCCTGAGCAAAGTACTCATCTAACGGCTGAGTTCTTACAACTCCTCTGATGTAAAAACTCCCCGATTGACGGCTCACACTGAGTAACAAATCAACATTGTACGGTCTCAACTAGCCTAGCTAAAGCCGCTAGTAATCGCGGCCTAAACCAACACTTTGGCCGCCTAACCCACCCCAACTTCCAACACGGCGTACAGGTTCACACGGAGGCCCAGGAGAGGCCAAAATTTGAATATGTGCTCGAGGGTGACGCGGCCGCGGGTCTTTCACATACGGGCCAAATGAGGGCAAGTTGAAACTGTGCGCGAGGCCCGGGCCGCGCCGGAAGAGACCGAGGAGGACATTGGGATGCAAACATCGGCAGCCCAGAGGTCCCAGCGCGTGAAAGACGCGTTCCGGGAGAGTGGTACCGCGCTAACTTAGCGGCGGAACGGAAAGCGGGGGAGCACCCCAAAGGGACGGGGGAGCACCCAGAACCGCAGATCTATCAGGAAGCCGTAGAGGAAAATGAGAGTGTACTGTGGCGGTAGTCGATGTACGAGGAGATGCGGTCTTTGTTGGAGACCGGGACCCGGGAGCTCGTCGAAATCCGGAAGGGGTGAAGCCGGTTCCCATGAAGTGGGAACCGATACAAGATAAAGCGGGTCGCTCTCGGAAATGTGGAGCGGTACAAGTCCCGGCTGGTGGCGAAAGGGTACCTGCAAAAGCAGGGATTGACTTTGAGGAAGTTTGCGCTCCGGTGAGCAAGCACACCACATTGGGTGCTTATTAGCGGTGGTCGGAAAGAGCGACTTAAAGCTGCATCAATTGGACGTAAAACCGGCGTTCCCCGATGGGGAGCTGGAGGAAGAGATCTTCATGGAGCAGCCGCAGGGATACGCGAGGCGGGCCCAACATGGTCTGCCACCTCAAGCGCACTTTGTACGGGTTACGCCAGGCGCCGCGTGCATGGCACATGCGTCTGAAGGAGGAGCTCGGGAACTTTGAATTTGTGGCGTCAATGGCGGACCAGCGCTCTTCACGGGAATAGTAGCTGGGGAGCGGGTCTACCTGGTGGTGTGGGTGACATCCTCGTTGCGGCCCGGGGAACGGACCGCCTTGCCAAGTAAAGGCGCATTTGAGGGAGAAGATCGACGTGCGCGACTTGAGAGAGGCAAAGTACTTCCTCGGGATGGAGCTAACGCACGATAGGGAGGCGCGCACCTCAAAGCTAAAGCAAAAGAAGCTGATGTGAGAGCTTTTTGGACGGTATGGACTAGCGAGCGCTTGGGCGCGCTCGGTCCCTCCCGAAACAAGGGACAAAATAATCAAAGAAGGTGAGCCCCTGGACATAAAGCGGTTTCCCTAAGTACAAGGAGTGCGTGGGGAGCCTGTTGTACTCGAGTTTGTGCACTAGGCCCGACATTGTATAGGCAAGGGGCGCGCTTGCGCGCTTTATGGCGGGGCCGACAGAGGAGTATTGGCGGGCGGCGCTTGAAGTTGTACGCTATCTAGTGGGTAAGCAGAGCACGGGGTGAACTTTGGGGGGAGCGAAGAGACTTTCATCGCTTATTGCGACGCGGATTACACGAGTGACGTGGACACGAAGCGATCAGGCAACCGGTACGTTTTTCTGATGTACGGGGGGGCGGTGAGCTGGTCGAGTAGGCTGCAGCCAACGGTGGCGGCCTCGACGGTCGAAGCGGAGTGCATGAGCGCAAGCGGTGAAGGAGGCGCTGTGGTTCCGCAAGCTCGGGGGAGATCCTGAGTGGAACATCGGGACGGTCCGGATCTACTGCGACAACCAAGGGGCAATACGGCTCCTCAAGCACCCAATCGCTTCACAACGATCTAAGCACATTGACGTGGTTCATTACTTTGCACGGGAGCGTGTGGCACGCAAGGAGGTCGCGGTCGCATACTGCAGGACGGAGGACATGAGGCGGACATCATGACTAAGCCGTCAGCACCGGGGAAGTTCAAGAAGTGCAAGAGCGAGATTGGAATTCCATAAGTCATTAGTTTTTAGGGGAGTGCTGAGATTCGGGCATTTAGTGTGCGCGATCTCTTGGGTTCGACGACAAGCGGTAGTTAGCGGTTGGCGGTTAAATGCGCGCGGTTAAAGCGTTACACCCGAATGGCTTCTTGAGTAACCGTCGTAAACGAGTAGGTTCGATAACAGCCGTAAATATTCAGATTGCGCGGAAGTTTCGGACTTGCTTGTCAGCGGTCAACAATCCTACTAGGCTATTAGTGGAGACCTAAACGAAGAGTGTGACTCCACTTGAGGGAGTTTAGCATAGTACACAGACTGCATAGCTTTAGCGCCGCTATACTCCGAAAACTCGATATGTATTGTTTGCACTTGATCATTCGATCATTCATTCCCAACAACGCCGTGTTTCAACAAAAACTATCTCAGGATCTGAGCTGGTAATGTGTCGCTTCCATCAAAGTTCGCGAAGCTAGTACATGCCTCTGTGAATGAATAAATCTTTTGAAGCTACAAACAACTTTGGTAGTTACTCCGATGAACTTCGTTCGAGAAGATTGGTGGCCATGGGCTATCAAAGCCCAATGATAAAGGCAAGCAATTAATGGTGGTTGAGTTTTAACATGGGGTTTTATCCGCCGCCACATACAAGCGGCTTCACAAAGATACTTCTACTTTTTTGCCAAGCATCTTTGCGAATGAATTGTGAGGATTCTGCATCTTTATTACCCTCAACCCACTCAAAGCCGATGAATTCCATCATTGATCCACGTATTGCACTCCGCTGGCAGGATGCGAGTCCTCCATCAACATACTACATAAATACATAGTAACACAAAGTTTGATTCAATATATTACGTGAGACCTTTTTGCCGTCACCTACTTGACGCCACCGGTCGACATGGGCGCCGCCTCTTGCACACTGGAAAATTTGAAAACGAAAAGCTGAAAATGAGAAATGAGGTTGGATCGGCTTGCTTCTATAGACCAGAAAAGTGGGACCGGTTTCGTGACTCGGTATCCTGGAACCTTCTCATGGAACTTGGAGCAAAGGTCGCCTTCTAAGTGTTCTACAACAGTCTCGAGCCTTCTGGTTAATTTGGATATATCTAGACTAAAATATACGCTGGAAGAATATCGGATTTTTCAGTCAGTTTCAAAATGACGTCTTTCTGGTTTCTTTGAAGCCTAGGGTTGGTGACGTTGGAGACCCCTTATACGATTTCTGTTCCATCCTGGCGTGTTTTTGTGTCAAGAAACCCTCTTGGTCTTTATTAATTTGCTGTGATGAGCGTGAACAGCACAATCAAGAGGGGAAAAAATACCGTACTTGCACAGTACATGCGGCGTCGCACGTTTGTAATCAATTCTCAAAGCCGTTGATGTTTAGCTTCTCAAACTTTCTTCAATCTTTTCCAATTTCCTAACCTGAAGTTTATTGTATGGAAGTGGGAGTTGATCAAATTATCGCCAACAAAGTCAAAAAGTGTCAAACGGTGAAAAGGAAGCTTCGGAGAGCGTTGCAAAACCATGGAACCACGGATGGACAAAATTGAGGAGAAAGTCAACCGATTCCATAGGCGAAGGCAACAAACGTGTCGCAAGAAAATGCACGTGTAGGCGCTAGAGGAGTACGACGAGAAAAACGACAGTTTAGTTAGAGTGATTTGAAAGCCAAAGAAAATCGTACAAGATGAACAAAGCTTTATCTTCGTAAATGCTAGAATTCAAAATGCACCTAACAATATGTTTGCATGGCTTGATTAATGAGAGATGGAGTTGATTGACGGCCAAAGTGTTGAGTTAGGCTCGATACATTGAAGCCGTAGGATCGTGAGTTGTGTCCTTTAATATCAATCGTAGGATTGTGGTTTGTGTTGTGTAGTATCGACCGTTGGATTAGAAGTTTGTGTCGTTGAGAATCGACCGTTTGATTGCGTGTTGACTTGATTGTGGATCGTCAGATGTGAGTCGACTCGAGTAGTATAGTAACCCGACCACTAGTAGTACTGTACTACCGACCACTAGTAGTATAGTGCCCCGATTACAAGTCCGAGTGGTATAGGCATATTGTGAGTAGTAGAGTGACCGGTTGCTGGAAAGGCATCCCAAAACACCCCCCCCACGGTTTCCATATGGAATGCATATGAAGCTCGAGCTGGTAGAACCTCGTACGGCGCTGCATGGAAGTTTTGATTCGCGTCCATGTGAAA